GAAAGAGTGCTCAATGCAATGAGAATAGCACGTGCAAAGGCCCTGAGGTAGGAGCATGTTTGGAGTGTTCACAGAATAGCAGGAAGCTCACTGCAACTGAGAAAAGTGAGCAAGGGGAAGATGAGTAAGAGACGAGATTGGGTACATGGGTAGAGGCGCAATGTGCAGAGAGAGCCCTGAGTCCATGATACGGACTTTTCTTTTGCTTTGGATTCCTTCCCCTTCCATGCTTTGGGTGAGGTTGAAATTAATTTGTTCTACATGGTAGTTGGTTGCCCCTCAGTTTGCTAAATAATTATCTCTTGCCCATTGATTTGAAGAAAAAAAAAAAAAGGCAAAAGATTTATTCAATCTGAAGAGAAACCAGAGTATTACATTGATTTGAAATGCCAGTTAATCATATTAATTATATGTGTTTATACATACTTACAAACATACAGACATGCTTGCAGGCATATATACAGACATATGTTTATTAGCTCTCTTCCGTTGATTTGTATTATAATTATTGTTATAATTACCTCTATACCAGGCATTGGCAAACTACAGCCCATGGCCCCAGTCAGGCCACCACCAAGTTTTTATAAATAAAGTTTTATAAATAAAGTTTTATTGGAACACAGCCACACTCATTTGCTTGTGTATTGTTTATGGCTGCTTTTGAGCTACAGTGGCAGAGTAGTTATAACAGAGGTCGGATGGCCCACAAAGCCTAAAATATTTAAGATCTGGCCCTCTGCAGAGAACTTACCAACCTCTGCTTTATATTATGTATTGTCTGATAGGGCAAGTTCTTCCTCATTCTTCTTTTTCAACAATTTCTTGGCAAGTCAAGCACATTTGTTCTTTGCAGATGAACTTTAGAATCAATCTGCCAAGCTTGCCTGACTCCCTTCCTTTTCCCCCACCTCTTTTTTGGGGTAGGGAAGTGGGAGGCAGGGAGAATAGGAATTTGACTGCATTTAATTAATACTGTAGTAAAGGGTGAAGTGATCGCCTTACAATACTGGGTCTTTCCATTCCAGGAATATAATATCTCTGCATTTTTGTCTTTCAGGAAACTTTCATTGTTTCTTCATTTGGTTGTTGCATGTTTAAGTTTATTCCTACGTGTATTATTGCTTTTCATTGCTGTTGTAATTAAGATCACCTCCCAGCTATATTTAACAAGTGACTATGTCATAAAAGAAAGGTTTGGATTTTTATGTATTTAAATTGTTTCTGACCCTCTTATGGAAGTAAACTCCTCTTAGGACTGTTAATTCTGAAATTTGATTCTTTTGGTTGATGGTCATTGTCTGAACTTACCAATAATTGTTTTATTCCTAGTATTTATGTCTCTGCCTATGTTGTGGGATTCTATACCAAGAGTAGTTTGGGGGAAGTGAATTTTGACTCTCATTGGCGTTCACTTTCTTCCATTATGTAGGTCACAGCAAATGGTAATTATGTAGAAACCCAAACAAACAAACCAAAAAAAAAAAAAAACCAGAAAACTTTATGCCCAGTCAGCATTTGTTGATCATTTTTAAGAATGCCCAGAAGATAATTTAGGCAGACCATTTATCAAGCAGGCTGTGCCTTTCTGCAGAGCCATTTGTCGCTTTTAATACAGAATGTAGGGTTCGCATGTCACACAGGAGAGTCAAACCCAGTGACTACTGTGGAGGGCCTTTTGATCATGGACTAAAGTTGACTTAACCAAGCATTTATACTTTGGAATTAAAATATGAGCAGAAGAAGATTTTATGAATGAGTTAGTACTTTCCTAAATATGTTCTCTCTGTAAAGCATTTGATCTTTATCCTTAACATCTATTCCTTAAGGGTGTGAAATCTATTTTAGATTTCAAGGTCTGTTACTTGCCCTGAGCACTGAACAGATGAACCGTAAATTCAATATGTGTTAACCTTTGTGGATTTATCTTTTAATGCCATTTTGGTCTTTTTTTCCTGAATTTGTGTCTACTCCCCAGCTTCTTACCTTGGTGAAACTAAAGAAGAACTATTCTGTTCATGCTGCTGTTCCTTTTCTTTTTCCCTTTCTTTTTGGTGAAGCGATGATAAGGTGGTTATGGTAGTAGACGCTGGATATGGAAATAGAGAATTGCTGACATATATTATGTGACTTGTGAAATGAACCTTGTTGCTTGTATTATCTGTAAAGTGAAGCTTCATGTATAGAACCTGATCTTAAATGCTTTTGTATATTTTTTTCCACCATCATTATGAACGTCAGTTGGTGGTATATGAATATAGATAGAAATGCCATCATACACAGTAGAGATGTATCAGGCCACATGCCTCAGTCACAGAGGGAGCTCCAACTTTGAGATCTTTGATGTGGGGCTTGACTTGGACCTACAGAAAGTAGAAACCATTGTAGATAGCTGTGTGGTGTGGAAAATGGTATAATCGAATAGTGTGATAATTGATGTCTTTTATTCGGCACTCACTGTGATCCAGGCATTACATTGGCTGTCTGCCACATCTAGGCATTGTAATCTCACTTCACAACTGAGGACGTTGAAATTTAGGTTAAATAACTGGTAGGCCTGAGGTTCAAATTGACTGTTAGACTCGAGTCAGGTTGTAAAGCTCAGTGAGTGGTATTTTGGCAGAAACCGTGTGTGTGTGTGTGTGTGTATATGTGTGTGTGTGCGCGCGTGCGCGCGCGCGCGCGCGCACGCATATGTATAGAAGGATTTAGCAATTTTATTTTGTTTAGATTCTCCTGTGTGAATCTTGACAGTTGAATTAACATCAGGGTGGTTTGGCATGAGTTCTGGAGACCTCATTGCTGCAATGATCTTTGGCAAACCCCTCTTGTGTGGCCTCAGTGAGAGAGAATCTAGACCCTTAAGTTTTCTGGTTTTGTTTTTTGGGGGGGCCCAGGAGCTTAATTAATATTTCAAGATGTTAATGTAGTATATCATTTGTCTTCCAAATTTTAAATTGAGAGAGTACAAAAAGGGGGTTTATGGCTTGGTCGTAGGTGCCAGGGGAGAGGGGCAGTGTAAGATTAAGCTCCCCAAAGCCTTTGCAGGTCAGGAGGAGGCTGTTGCTTCTAGTTTTAGAGCCCCCTACCCAGCTTTATGAAATAGAAGCATAAGTAAATAAATACACACACATATACACACTCGGATACCCCAAATGTTTTTTAATCCTTTTCTGTGCAGTCGCACTAATTAAGATGGAAAATCAAGGTCTGTGCACATTATGTCATCATTTACCTTAAATATGGCCAAACCATTCAGATGCCAAATAATTAATAATGCAAAATAGTTAACACATATCTATAGTTGAGACCGTGCTCTGGTTGCCTCTCAGCCAAGAACTCTGATTCCTTGGACCATTCTTGGTGGCTGTGCCTGCGGTGTGCATGTGCCAGAGCCGTGCATGTGCGCATGTATACGTGCAGCCTGCTGCTCCCGGCAGCGGCGTGTGAATGTTAGGGTCTCCGCTGCCTGCTGGCCCCTCTGCCCTCCAGGCCAGCCTAGACCTGGATTCCTCGCACAATTTAGAAAAGAAAGTGAAGCTTTCTAAATGCTGACAAGTCTGCTTGCTTTCCAGATTCGGAGCAGCAGCCCAGAGAGTCCAGTGCCAGCAGAGACAATTCATGTTGTAGTGTCCGCGCTTTGCATCTGATATGTGTCCCACATAAAATTCCAGTGAAGGGAGATTATTTTCTTTTTTATCCGAATGGCATAACTTGGAAAGTTACAGTATCTTTTCAAGGTTATTTTCAGACTAACCTTTACTAGTCTTTATGATAGTAAAGAAAAGGAACTACTGTAAATCTTGATATTTTATGAAAATACTTCTATTGCTTGTTCAAATATGAAATTATTCAGAGACTTTTAACCCATATTCGCATAGCCTAATATGTAGTCAAGCATACTTAACTTTATAAAAAACATTTGAAATTGGAGATTCAAAAGCCTAACAGTTTAACTTAAAGTTTTATGTTGTGACAGGATTGTATGATGGAGCAACTTAATTCGTCTTGTATGTATGATTCATTGTGCAGTTATTAGAGATGGCATGTGGAGACAGTCTTTGATTTGGCCATGTTTCTCTGTGAGTGTGAGTTCTGCCTCTGTGTTTCTGGTTCTGTGGCACATTTTACTGTTGCCATGCAGGTAACTAGAGACTACATCCCAGAGCCCTGGCCTTTCAGACTGGGAGCTTGCAGGATAGTCCTTTGATCTGTCTGTGTTTGTTAAATTAGGAAGGGGAGGGGCTTAGATTCCATTTCTGCTCTATGTTATATAAGAGCCAACAAAATAAGTATATTGTAAGAAATGCCGAATGGTTGAGATGCTTTCCTATTATTTTCTTGCCAGGAGCTTGATATTGTGCTAGTAATTCTGGGGAAGAGAAAGAGAAAGTGAACAAGTTTCATTTGAGATCTGTCTTCTATTTTTGTGACTTGTTTAATTTGCTAGCATTATTGATATTTTTCTTTTAAGCTCAAGTTTATTGCTGATAGGCTATTATAACTACTGAAGTATTTTTGTTTTACCTTACAATTCACATGAAAATTTCATGAACTTTATTTTAACATGTGGTTGGGAATTTAATTTTATTGTCAGACTTTATTTCTAGCAGAGAGGTTGGTAGTTGCATGTTGTATCTTATTTAATAAGTATCAAATTAATGGAGATAGAATTCAGTTGTATCAAAACATTTGTTTATTTCACTTCTGAGCTTTCTTTTTTAATAGTCTTTTTGCAATATGAGAAGTAAATGACACTGAATTTTCCCCTTTTCTTTTAAAGACTTTCAGCTGAACTCTCATCTCTCAACACTGGCAAATATTCATAAGATCTACCACACCCTTAATAAGCTAGTAAGTCAATCTTTTAAAGACAAAACTACCAGCCATTTAAAGTAGTAGTTTTAAGTGGATTTGATAAAATTTAGATTATGGATATTAAGATATCAGCTGTTTATGAAAATACTGAATTTTAAAGCTTGCTGTATGGTATGTGATTTCTTGGTAATGATGAACATATTTCTTGCAGAATCTAACAGAAGACGTTGGCCAAGACGATCACCAAACAGGTATCTATAAATGCTAACACTACTTAATTTTAAATAAACTTCCTAATATAAAGTTATAATGCATTCCATTAGCAAGTTGTTACTTGGTTGAGGATTGTTTTTCAGGGTGTATGGAGGTAGCCATCTCACAGCTCCTTCCCTGGAGGAAATCTGTTCTAGGGCTCTGGCTTACAGAGTACTTCAATTCCTTTAAAGGGGCTGGGGAGTCTCCCCAGTGGTTTCAAAATAATCATTTCTCTACTGAAGTGTTTAGTTTATACTAAAAAGTTGCTACAGTTGTGCAATTTGGAAGGTATTCCATAAATATTTGTTGACTTGAGATGTAAAATGAGTTGATAGGTCGGTAGGGGCTTGTGTGTGTATGTGTTGTATAGGTCTTGAGGATTTATGAATGGGAAAACTGAAAGTTGATAATTGTAAACAGTTCTCTAGCCCTGTGGTTCTCAAGCTGTAGCTGGCATTATAATCTTGGGGGGGGGGGTAGTTCCAATGGATTGCTGGGCTCCACCCAGAGTTTTTGATTCTGTAGGTTTGGGGTGGGGCCCTAGAGTTTGCATTTCTAACCAGCTCCCAGATGATGCTGATGCAGCTGGTCTGGAGACCACACCTTGAGAACCACTTCTCTAAACTGTAATGATCATAAAGTTCAGAAACTTGCACTTGATCTGTAGTTACGAAAACTTCCAGCAAAAATGATTAAAATATATTTTAAAGTTTTTGAAAATTACCACAGTAATACATGATTGTTAGAGAATTATGAATAGCACAGAAGCAAATGAAGTAAAAAGCCACAATCCTCCTTCACGTCTCCCAGTCCAGCCTTCCCCCAGTTTGCCGCTTGATGTTTGTTCTTTCAGACATTTTTGTACCTGCATATATTTTTATAGCAGTGTTTTTTTTAAATTTATCATTGATGAGCTCATACTATACATACTATATAGCATCGTTCTTTTTTCATTTAATTTTTTAACTTATTGGTGTATCTTGGAGGTTGTTGGGATTTAGAACTCTCCCCACCTTTCCCCTCCAGATTGGTTCAGGATTAATTGAAAATTAGGCACAAGATGGAGATTGAAGTAACAGTTGTGTTGGAAAACACAGCTTAGAAGAGCAACAAAAATGCAGAGGCTTTTCAGTATTTCAACTTAATTAGATAGCCTTACACGCAATCACTGCCACAGCTAGTTAAGCACAGCGCACCTCCCGGGCCCCTCTCTAACCCACCACTTATGGTGGAAGGGTATCAGCTTCTGCTGGCAGGTTGATTTGAAAGGGAGTTCAGAAGGGGCTGGGCCCCTCTGCTCAGTTCCTCCATGCCCCAATCACCAGTTAGATCAGACATTCCTTCTTCCAGAGGAAGGAATGAGAGAAGGGGGAATATATTCTAGAAGGCCAGGCCACGGAGGGTCCCTTCACCTGATCTTTCTGTTTTAGTAAATATAGGTCAACTCAAGGCAGTCAAAAACAGTTTGCTTAATAATTTTATTGATTGATTGATTATAGCTCCTTAATTTTAGAAGCAGTGTATGCACATGGTTTTAAAAGAAATGTCAGAAAGGTGTAAAGAAGCGAAGGTTGCTGGCCCATTTTATGAGCCCTAGCTCCCATCCCCACTAGTACTACACCCTTGACTCTCCAGAGATAACTCTTATATTCTTGTATTTGTTTCCCAAATGACGATGATATATGTTTTTCCCCAAATACAAGTATACCTTTGTGCCTCTTGTTTTTGTCACTCAGTATATCTTGGAGATCTTTTCATTGCAGCACATTTATAAAGCTTTATTTTTCAATGACTGCATGATTTTCTGTTTCATGGATATATCATAATATGTTTCTATTGATACACATTTAAGTGTGTTTAACTTTTAGCTAATTTTCAGGGCCAGTTTTAAAAGTTAAAAGAAAAAAAACATTTCTCTCTACTATTCTGGAACAATATATTGGTAGACATCAGAGATTTTTTAAACTTAAGAGTTAGTGTAGTTTTGATTTTTTAAAACTGAATTTTGTGTTTGTAAAGCCTTTAAGTTGTCTTTCCCTTGGCTAAGGTAATAAAACATCTAAGTGCTGAGTCTTGTACATTCTGTAGTTAACGTTGAACTTTGGATTTAAATGAGTATCGTTACCGTGGTAATTTCACATTTAAATATTTAACCTGAATGTGGCAATTTAATAACTATAAGCTATCATTAAGGAAAACGAAAGTGGAGAGTGTGTTTGGCCTCATGCCTCCTCTTTCGCCCTTGGGGACAGTGGATGTGCCTGATATTTGGTATATGACTTGCTGGTGCAGTGCCTGGTACCTCATACGTGCCAGTCAATGTCAATTAACATTAGTAATTTCTCAGAGTGGTCCATTTCCCCATCTGGTTATAGCATCACTTGTGATTACCATACCTGGCAGAGTATACTTTAAAAATTAAGTAACATAAAATCCGTAGTGTTTGGAAACCTGAGAAAGTTAATCACTATAGTGCCTCTTTGTAGTGCCTCTTTGAATTTCTTGGCCTATCAGTAGTCTGAGCCATTTCTATAACAACTGTATATGGAAGAGCCAAACTAAGTGCAAAAGAGGCCTGTATCTTCCTGCTCTGTTTCCTTTAACACTTTTCTTTGGTGCTTTCAGTCTTCCACCAAAAAATGAAGAAAGAAAAAAAAAAAAAAGGAGAGAGAGTGTGTATGTTAAAATTGGAGAAGAAGCACAAAATACTAGGAGTGAATTTAAAACACCAGAGAGGACCCCAAAAAAATGATGAAGGAGGATGGTAGATGTCAAAAGTCAGTATTGTTTAGAGAGAAAGGAAAGGAAATTTTTTGGCCTTAAATAGTAGGATAAAAATTGCGCATTTGGACACTACTAGTTTTACTGAAGCAAGCAAGTAGTTCAATGCTCTGTTCAAGAAAATGAAATAAAATATTTAGGTACTGGTAAAATGTCTTAAAATGCATCCTATTTACCAACTTAAATTACTATACCTTTGTGACATTATTCAGTGAAAAGTGAGGTGAAATGGCTATATGAAAAGTATTGAAATGGCAGAATGAACATGGAAAATGGTATTAAGTGAGTCAAGGCTATATGATACAACAAACTCATTATAATGAAAATTAGACAGTGAGATTTTTGTATTGGAACATGCATTTATACTAAGTTTGGAAAAGTCAGAAAAATTCTCTAATTGTATAAACCTCTTTGAGGATGACTAGAAACTGGGCACACAATTTAATATGTCTTACAAAAAATGAATCCTGAACAGGACCTTTTTTTACTTGAGGCCCACAGCAGGAAGATTAAATTAAAAAAACAGAACAAAACAGTGGAGCAGTGACTTAGATACCATTTATTATGAATAACATGCTTAGTTAAATTATTATCAAAACAGCCAGCTGCATAGGCATTAAAAGACCTTTGGTGAACTTAAATTGCTCTTTAAAATTGATTTTTCTGGGACCAAATATTGGAATAGATACGTTAAAAATGTTGGCGGTATTTCTAGTTGTTTAACGTAAGAAGAATAGCTATATTCATTGACCTCCTGATTTATTTGGAAATATGGTCAGTTAATAGAATAATTTATTTGTTCCTCTTAAAAACTGAACCAAAAAGAAATGACCCTGAACTCAAATCATAACCTTTGGTTAAAAAATAGAAACAATTTTTATTGCCTTCCTAAGGATCATTTAAACACTTCAGCATCAAGAAAGAGCTTCTAACGATGGGAGAGGCAATTTCAGAGTCACTGTCACAATGCAGAAATATTATAGACTGAACACCAGAATATCTATCACGATAATGTGAAGGAGCCTGAACTATAGTTTGAGATCACTAGTTGAGATTATTCATCTCTTCCTCTTCCTACTTCTTTATTATTATAATAAAAAGGCTTTTTCTCTTTCATAAGTACCTGCCAGACATTTCTAATGAGATTGAAGATGGATCCTTAAAATCTTTTTCATCACTGTTTTTTCTTGGGTGATTGGCAAATATTGAAAACTTGCAGCTCTGATCATTTCAAATCAGTTTATGGGTTAAGTTGCTTTAATTTGTTAACTATTTATTGAATAGGAACTTTCAGGTGCTCCACTTATTGGCTCGTTGTCTTATCTGTAGAATTGGGGTGGTAATAATACCTCTCAGATTTGTGAAGATAAATTTGAAAGTGCTTTGTAGTTACTAATTTAAAACGTCAGCCTTGATATTTTGCCTCTGCCTGTAATGTCAGATTGTTTATACCTAAGTAGATACTTGTAGCAGGTTACAATAGCTAAAGCTTCTTTGAAACAAACATTCCATAACATTGTTGTTTACAGTATTTGCTTACTGAATTTTCTTTTTACTCTAAAAATAAAGTTTAATTAAGGTAGATAAAGTGATATAAGTTCTAAAGCAGTAAAGTCTAAATTTAATGATACGAGTAAATACAAATTTGTAAAACATTCATTTAGGTTTAAGTGTTTTTATTTTAAAAAGACATCACAGAGTTATTTTAAGAAGCAGACATTCTAGAATATTTGTGTTTAAAAAAAATCCGACCTGCCAGGAAACTTAGAATCAAGTGCTTTTCTTAACTGACAAATGGGAAAGAAAATCTGAAATGGTGGTGTATTATCTATTCATAGATGTTTCAAATTTCTGGAAGCATACTGATCTCTAAGCAGAATTTGATTTACGTTTGTTTTAGGAACACATTTATTCAACAAATATTTGCGACTCTACTGTGGGACTCTCAGTACTGTATATACTGTATTACTACTGTACTAAGATGATATATTAGCTGCTGTGTCTGCACAGGTGAACAAAGCAGAACCCTGCAAACCAAGGTGTACTTTTGTGCATGAACCTAAAAACCTGAGTTGTTGCTCTTGCTCAGGTAGGATCCCTGGAGCCACGTGGGGTTGGGGGAGCAGCTTCGGGGCCACCGAGCCGTGAGTTGTGTGCTTTTTGTTGACTTGGTTTGTGTTGGCAAATTATTTTAGGTAAACTTGTTTTCCTCAGCGTTAAAAAATTGCTTTTGGGCTTCTCTGGTGGCGCAGTGGTTGAGAGTCCGCCTGCCGATGCAGGGGATATGGGTTCGTGCCCCGGTCTGGGAGGATCCCACATGCCGCGGAGCGGCTGGGCCCGTGAGCCATGGCCGCTGAGCCTGCGTGTCCGGAGCCTGTGCTCCGCAACGGGAGAGGCCACAGCAGTGAGAGGCCCGCGTACCGCAAAAAAAAAAAAAAGAAAAAAGAAAAAAAAAAAATTTGCTTTTGAGATAGCCTGGAACTTTTCACTGTCATCATGGGTTCCAGGGTTCTACCTGTGGAGCTGTGCTGCGTCGTGCGAGTTGGACTCGTCCTTCCTATGAGGTAGGGGTGGGTGGCGAGAGGCTCAGTGAGCCAGTGGGTGCCTGGGCTGTAATGGGCACCGGGGACGAACAGATGCCATTTCATTGCAAAGGGTGGCCCCTAACAGTCACTCGCTTATGCCGATGATTGGAGCAGAGAGGTCTGAACGAACGCCACGGGAATAAGTGAAAGAACAAAATGCCAAATTTGGGATGCTTTGGGGCTAAAATATGAGTAAGTTTTACACCAGGAAAAGCGATTTGTGGAACTTCAACAGTAAGAAAAAAAATAAAGTTGAAAAAGTTAGTTACTTTATTATGTTTGTATGTTTACCAGAAACATGATACTCTTGTCAAGTAGGAACTCGTGAAAGCAAGACATTATGCCAGTGTTTCTATGAAGAGGCAAATAGTAGAGGAGCTGGTGGATTTATCTCTATTGGTGAATATTGGTGAAGACATTATTTTAAATGGTGTTCATCTTCCCATGCGCTGAGGAGATGAGTGCATTTCCTCTGTGTTCTGCAAACGCTGGTGAGAGGGAGAGGTTCCTCCTGGAACCAGATGCTCAGAACCCAACCGTGACCAGTACCAGGAGACAGTGTCTTTCCTTCAGACGTGCACGTCCAAGGTGGGGGAAGCAAGCCTCGAGGTTGAAGGCAGACTTGTTTCTGAGCAGTGTGGCAGGCTTTCCGGCAAGGCGGGACCCACTTTTTCATCCTGCAAGCCCCACCCCGAGGCATTAACGGACAAGAATAAATCTTGACCGTTGGCAGTCTGCAAAAGCTTGGGTCTCCGTGCACCTCTTCAGACCTTTCTGCGCTCTTCAGTGTAAACAGGACTGCCGTTTCACCAGGAGGACGAGCGGGGCGTGTGTGGTGGGCAGCACGTTCTCAGGCTCTTTCTCTTCCTGATTTTGCTGCTGTTGTGGGGAGAGAGATATGGGTGTGCCTTGTGTCTCTGAAGAACCTCCTACTCCCTCCGTTGTTGGGCTCCGGGAAAGGTGGTTGAGGATCGTTGTCTTTTCAGCCTGGTGGGCGCTGCCTCTGGCTGAAGGAGCAGGCAGGGTCCAGTACCCGGCGCCGGGCCCATGCCTTGTTCGCGCTGTTGTCCTGTTTTGTGGCAGAAGAGGTGGTTGCGGCTGTTCTGTTCCTGAAGCGCATCACCGGGGAACTTAGCGTGGTGGTGGAAGCCTGAGTATGTTCTGAGATTGAGGTTCCAGTCCCGACCATTGCACTTACCAGGTTGGGACTGTTAGCTACTGACAACTTTCTCCCTGCCTTCTGAACAGCTTTCTAGAGAGAACTGTCCACATTCACTGAGATCACACCCTCCGCTCACGTCCTTCCCCAGCCTATTGCAGCCCTGTCCCCAGCCTCTTGCTTCTGCATCTGACTGCTGCCACCGCCCTGTGCACTCCTCCTGCTTTGGCTTCTGGGAGTGTACACTTGCCCAGGTTTTCTCCCCACCCAGGTCTTCACCCTCTTTTCCCAGCCCCCGAATATCCACACTCCCTGGGCTCTGGCCTTAGTCCTCAGCTTCTCAGTCTCTGCTGCTGAGGCTGCGTGGAGGCGGCAGCAGTGAGTGGTGGTGGGGAGCTTGGCCTCGCCGCTGAGCTGCTTGGGTTCCATCCTCGACTTCACCTGCTGCCCTCCAGCTGCTGCTTCATCTCTCTGCCTGAGTTTCCTCATTCGTAAGAATGGGGTGGTTGTGAGGATTAGGTCAGTGCGGAGGTCCAGCCTGAGCACGCACCTCCCTGGTGGCACTCAGATCCCAACATCTGTCTACTCGCAACACTTGGCCACGTGAGCACGTGTTGAATGGGTATTTTTCCCTCTTAAAACTTCGGAGAGGTAGATCTTACAGTTCTCATTCTTCAGATGATGAACCAGAGACCCAGAATAGGTCACTGACTGACTGAGCCACATGACTAGGTGAGGAGCTGGAGCTCATCCACTGAATGCAGAGCACTCAGACCCTATCACCCGGTGCTGCCTTGTCCCAGCGGCTCACTGAGGGCCCAAGGCGCCAGTGCAAGGAGGAGGACGTGCAGTCCAGATTTCACCCCTTAGCACTTCTGAGACCTTGGAAAGTCTCTTGAATGCCTAAGCCTTACTTTTTACCATCAGTCAGTAGAGATAGTTAACTCTGCCCTGCCTGTCATTCAGGGTTATTGTGGGAACCAAATGACATGATATCTCTGATAGTACTTATGCCAAGATGGGCATTTTAATTATGTTACAATTGTCTTGTAATTTATAATGGTTTAAGACAGTCTGAAGTGAGACTGTCTGGGTCTGAATTCCAATTTTGCCCCTTACCTGACCCCTCTCTGCCTCCGTTTTCTTATCTGCATAAGCAGTAATGATTATTCTTTTTTCATAAGCTTGTTGTTAGGTTAAGTGAGGTGTCATACATGTAAGTGTTAAGAGCAGGGCCTGGCTCACCGTAAGGTTTCCATAGGTGTTCCACGTTGTTGTTACATTTTAATATCTTTTACCAAATGAAAGTTAATGCTTCCAAAAACCCTGAGTGAAAGTGGCAGAAACAAATTAAAAATATTTATGGAAGTTTTGCTCAAGATCATGTCAGGCTTTTGCCCCAAAAATCCAAATTCTGTTTGTTTGTTTTTTAAATTCAGATATTCCTTGAAGCTTAAGAGTGTTGGGACTGATGTACTTGTATGTATCTTAGACCCAAGGTCACCAGTCGAGCTGGCCTTGCCTAATGAAGTACAGAAATGAGATAGCAGTGCAATTCCTTCTGAAGGAATATTGATGTGTAAAGGAAGCTGGAAGCGTAGATGATTTATATTAGTATTTTTGGAGAGTAAACTGAAGTTATGATAACTTCATTTCTGCTGTGTGTTTTGGGGGGACTATTAACTAATTTGTGTCATTGCTAGGTTCATTTCTTGACTCTTAACATTTTCTCAAAGAGCTGAAAACCAGTTTTTCACTTTTCATTTTTTCATGTTTACAGAGAACATCTAAACCCTTTGCAATGTAAGTTGTGAAAGCTCTTCATTTAGCGCTGATATTCTTTGGAAGGGTTTCGATGTGGCATTCCTTACTTTTGTGCTCTTCACTCTGTTTTGTAGGAAGTCTGCGGTCTTGCAGTTCTTCGGACTGCTTTAGTAAAGTGATGCCGCCGAGGAAAAAGAGAAGACCTGCCTCTGGAGATGATTTATCTGCCAAGAAAAGTAGACACGATAGGTACGTCACAGAGACAGTGGAACCACATTGATGGCATATGTGTTGAAGAGGCATCTTTCTACCCAAGCCCGGTGTGGGTCTTCTAAGCGTACAAATGCCAACCGGAATATTGTTTTGGTTCTGCCAGGAAAACTTTCAAAGTGTAATTTTTTGTGATACTTATTTAACGTGTGGGCTCATGAAACAAAAACAAGTTAGGTAACCTGAGTTCATAGAAATTCAAATTTTATCTCAGTCCATTGATCCACCAGAACTGGTGTAGTGTTTCTTTCTTTGCTTTTAAGAGCCTGCCCTCTGTGCCTGTTTAGGACCTCAGGATTGGTACTTATCTCTTCTTTAAGAGGGTCTCTCTCACTACCTACAACCGCAGGAATCCTGTAGCTGCCTTTGCCAGGACCTGGGTTGCGTGGCTGGAGAGAGCTGCCTGCACCAAGTGCTCTAAGCCTGCCTGGAATATTAGCTGAGCTGACATTTCTTCTCAGAAGAGTGAGCATTTGTTAGAAACCATGAAAAACAAGACTATTGAAACCACTTCTCTTTCAGACAAGTGAACTGTTAATTTTGGTAACTCCCAAGGTCCATTAGACTTGCTTAGTTTAGGCATCTTTACTGTTTCAACCAGATTTTATTAGACATTTTTTGGTTCTTTCTCTTTTTTAAAAAAAAAAACAATGAATAAACATCATAGTTTTAATCTTTTCTGCCTTTTCCCATCTCCCTCCATTCTGGCTCTGTAGGTCACTTCACTTATGTGGCCTGAATTGCCACATCGATAAATCAAGGGAATTAGATGAGATTTTTCTGCTTCTTTTTTTTTTTTTTTAAAAAAATTATTTATTTATTTACTTTTGGCTGCGTTTGGTCTTTGTTGCTGCGCGGGCTTTTCTTTCGTTGCAGCGAGTGGGGGCTACTCTTCGTTGTGGTGCGTGGGCTTCTCATTGCGGTGGCTTCTCTTGTTGTAGAGCACGGGCTCTAGGCAGGCGGGCTTCAGTAGCTGTGGCCCGCGGGCTCTAGATCGCAGGCTCAGAAGCTGTGGCGCACGGGCTTAGTTGCTCTGCGGCATGTGGGATCTTCCTGGACCAGGGCTCGAACCCGTGGCGGATTCTTAACCACTGCGCCACCAGGGAAGCCCTGAAGCCAGTTTAAAAACTGGTAATTGAGTTGCAGAAGGGTGCGAGGTACTCTCATTAATAGCATTTCATCGGTCACCTAGGGGATGGGGAGCTGTAACGTTATCCGAGTTTCATTCTTGGTCTTTTTTGAAAAACAACTTCATTTACATACCACAATGTATACGATTTTAAGTGTACGGTTTAGTGATCGTTACGGAGTTGTTGGAGCTGTGCAGCCATCACTGCAAACCAGTGTTAGAAGATTCCCATCACCCCAGTTGGAGCCTTGATGCCCATTCACAGTCCATCCCTGTGCTTATTCCCAGCCCCAGGAAACCACAAATTCACTTTCTGTCCCTACGATTTGCCTTTTCTGAACAGTTCACGTCAGTGGTCTTTTTGTGCCTCTCTTCTTTCACTTAGCATAATTTTTTTGAGGTTCATCCATGTAATAGCATGTATTGGTATCTTTTTTTTTTTGTAATGTTATTCCATTGTCCTTTTTTAGGTAGAGTATTTTTAAGTGATTCAGTCATTACAGTGTCATATAGAGGTCTCCAGGATATTGACTAGTTACAGACTTTGAGCTGAGATAGGGTGTCCAGGCCCAGGGTTGGAGCAAATCTGTTTGAACCCCTGAGCAGTATCCACCTTTGTTTCCAGGTGGGATGGCTACTTTTTATAGAAGAAATACAAAATTGGTGGTTTGCGGTTTCAGTATCTTAATACTTTATAACCATGTTTTGGGGATTTTCTGGGTATTGAAACCCAGAATCTCTGATCAGCGGTATATACAGATATTCTGGTGAAAGTCTTGATCATGAATAAATGCTCTTTTAAAAAGAATTATACATGATTTTATATTATATGCTTTGTAAGTAAAAACTGTATTCATAAATGTTTATATAACTATTTAGACAGTTTATATATAAATACTCATAATTTTTCTGTCAAAATCACTATTTTAAAAGTACTGCTGCTTCTCCCCTCCCCAAGTAGGGCCCATCTTGGTTCTCAGCCCTGTGTCATCATGAAATAAGGAATCCCTGCCAAGGGTCACAGTGTTGGCAGGAGGAGGCTGCTGTGCTTGCTGACTCAGTTCTCCAGCTTATGTGTCTGTTTCCACAATGCTAGGGCATGATAGGAGAAGGGCAGAGGCCAAGGATTCTCTGTACTTCGTTTTCCTGAGGTTTTTTTCCTGGAGGCTTGGACATAATTTGATGTTTCTTTTTATTTGCTTGACAAGTTCCTTGGAGGTGTCTAATACTGCCAGGTTCTTCCTTAGACCATGTGTCGCCCAGCCTGACTCGTATGGCACGGGAGTCGGGAGAACTTGATGCAGAGACATGAGTGAGTCCTAGGGTCACCAGTTGAAGAAACACCATCCACATTTCTTGCTGTATCACTAGTGTTCTGTAGTTAGTTCTGGCTAGAGAGGTAGAAAGGAGTATATTAAATACTTGTTCTCTTCAGTTTTTACTGATTATTTGTTCATCAGAGAAAAACCTGTATTAAGTGCTTACCATTTAATTTTATACTGGGTATGACTGTGTTTAAAACCATAGTTATAAAAGCTGAAGCTTCCAAATGCAAGAAGTGAAATATTTTAAATATACATGAAATACTGACTGAATAGATGTTTGGTTGGGTAGAAGAATAAAAACTATTTGCTACTTAAAAAAACTCAATATCTTTACATTAAATAACTTAAAACCCCTTTCTTGATTTCTAGCATGTATAGAAAATATGATACAACTAGAATAAAGACTGAAGAAGAAGCCTTTTCAAGTAAGAGGTGCTTAGAATGGTTCTATGAATATGCAGGTAGGTAATCATTTATATCATCTAAGACTGAGCCTCATAAAAATAAGGAGTGCCTTAGAGGAGATTAAAGAATTAAAAAGGAGTACTTTTAGAATTTGGTGTGTGTGTGTGTGTGTGTGTGTGTGTGTGTGTGTGTGTGTGTGTGTCCCTGTTTTCGGGAGGGAACACAGTTGAAACAATGTGTGTGTGTGTGTGTGTGTGTGTGTGTCCCTGTTTTCGGGAGGGAACACAGTTGAAACAAATCACCAAATGTCCTATTTATAGCCAGCAGCTAAGCCAAAGAATTCAGAAGTGTGTGTGTGTGTGTGTGTGTGTGTGTGTGTGTGTGTGTGTGTGTGTGTCCCTGTTTTCGGGAGGGAACACAGTTGAAACAAAATGTGTGTGTGTGTGTGTGTGTGTGTGTCCCTGTTTTCGGGAGGGAACACAGTTGAAACAAATCACCAAATGTCCTATTTATAGCCAGCAGCTAAGCCAAAGAATTCAGAACACTAGAAGGGAACTGAAAAGATGAAATGTACTTGGGAGAAATACTTTGGATTGCTAGGAAACCTCTTGAGAATGCTGGTAATGGGTGACTATTTGGTTTATGCATCCAAGTTAAAATAAGCTTTGCTGCTTTGAACCTTTATGTAGTGCAATGGAATTTCTTATATTGTGTCTCTATTTTGAAAGATCATGTGGCAGACAGTGTTTGTTTTGTCATTTAAAATGTCTTAAATCCAATCCCATTTTTGCAACTTATTATAATTGGTTGGATAATGTAATACTGAAATAAAGGGTTTGTTTGTTTTTGTGGCTGTGTATGTGTAAAAAAGGGGGAAAGAAAAATTTTCAGACAAGTTTGAACTGAAGGCTCTTTTACCTTTCCTCTTCCCCACCATATTTCTGGCCCTATCATAACTTATCAACTTGACATTTCCAGTGACCTTCAAACTAATTTTCTTGACATCAGTCTTTACTCTCAGTCAGGTTCTATGTGTTTCCTGTTGTATTATTTGAAAAGAAAAAAAAATAAACTGAACAGATCATACATGTCATTCCCTAACAATCCGCTGCAACCTTGCCCCCCACTTAAAAATCCCTGCTACCTACAGGATAAAAGACAACTAACTCAGTGCCATCCCTTTGCCTGGAGTGTTTTTCTCCACTTTTCCATATGACAAGCTGCTATGCATCTCTTAGCTTACTTAGCTTAATAGCCTTCCTTGTACTCTTAAAGGAAGGACATCATTCATAACTGTTTTTTTTTTTTTTTTTGCGGCACGCGGGCCTCTCACTGCTGTGGCCTCTCCCGTTGGGCAGCACAGGCTCCGGACTCACAGGCTCAGCGGCCATGGCTCATGGGCGCAGCCGCTCTGCAGCATGTGGGATCCTCCTGGACCGGGGCATGAACCCGCGTCCCCTGCATCGGCAGGTGGACTCCCAACCACTGCGCCACCAGGGAAGCCCCATACTGGTTTTGATACCCTTTTATTGGGTATCAAAATGAGGATTCCTCCTGGGGCCAGTGGTTTCCTCCTACCCCTACCTTACCCTTTTTCTGAAAAGTCTTGCCCCTTTGGCCACAGAGATTGTTCCAGGGGCTGCCAGGTAACCCACGTCAGGACAATCAGATAAAATTTCCTAGGGTTTTCAGATTGAAGCTGGGAGAAGAGCATCTTTCTCTTCTGGTGGTAGACTTGAAAGGATGCGATCCTGATTCCTGTATTTTTTTGGATTTTTATGAGCTACCCCAATATCCTTCTAGTGAATTCTCTTTCATTACTTGAACTAGTTTGAGCTGGATTTTGTTTGCAGGGCACAGACACATGGTACAGACACTTCTATAGTATTAGAATTTATCTGTTTTTAGGTCTTGAGAACATGAATCTCTTGAAGACGTTTTATGAAAGTGGTTAGCATGTCTCCAGGTGTTCAGTACTTGGGTCTGAATGATGGAACGTTTTCTCTTGTTCATATCACTTTGATTATGAAGATCTCTTGCTTTCTCATATTGGTTCACATTTATTGTTATGAAATATATTATAAAAAGGAGAGTTTAAACAGAAAAAGTATACTTAATCCCACCACCATAGCACAGCTATTTTGATATTTTTTGTATCTTCCTTTATAAGCAAATATGAATTTTTCCATAGTAAAAACCACACTTCTGTTTTCTTTTAAAAGGAAACAAGGTACAGTTTTCCTACTTGTTTGCTTTTCTCTGGCTCAGAAAGGTGACATTTGGGATAAAGATTAAGCTACATTCTTTAGGTTCCTTGAGGCCCCTGCCAGGTGGTTCCTTGGGATTTCATCACTGCGAGAAGTTTATGTGGGTGTAGCTCTCCCTATTTTTATTAATGCCCCCCCTTTTTTTTTGCTTTTTTTGTATTTTATCAGGGAAAATAACTTGAAATTGAGAACAACTGGCACCTGCTTTCTTTTTTAAAAAATTAATTAATTTATTTTTGACTGCATTGGGTGTTGGTTGCTGGGCGTGGGCTTTTCTCTAGCTGCGGTGAGCAGGGGGCTACTCTTCTTTGCGGTGCGCAGGCTTCTCATTGTGGTGGCTTCTCTTTGTTGTGGAGCACCGGCTCTAGGTGTGCAGGCTTCAGTAGCTGTGGCACGCGGGCTGTAGAGCGCAGGCTCAGTAGTTGTGATGCACGGGCTTAGTTGCTCCGCAACATGTGGGATCTTCCCGGACCAGGGCTCGAACCTGTGTCTCCTGCATTGGCAGGCGGATTCTTAACCACTGTGCCACCAGGGAAGTCCTCATTTTTTAATATCCCAACCACATGAACAAAAACTGAAGATAAGTATTGTTCAAGAAAAATGCATGGCGAGAAGTCCCTGGAAGGTTGTGCTCTGGGCAAGTCTGTGGGAGCAGACAGTGAGGCCGTGGGCCCCCTGTGCTGGGGTGAGGGCCTGTCCCCCCTCGCTGTGCTCCTGTTCCCTCGGAGAGAGCCACCTGCTTTTGGTTGACTCCCTGCACTGAATCCGGAGTGCAGTGGAGGGTGGTAGGGGCCTTGGTGCTGCAGTTGTGCTACACAGATGGACCTTAGTTCTTCCCAGAGTCCTCAGTTCCACGCTTGCCCTGTCCTCTGCACTCTGTCCTCTGCACTCCTTTAGCCTGAGCCCAGCTCCTCCCAGATCCTGCCTGGCCAGTTAGTCCCAGCCCTCTTTTGTACATCCTGTGCTGCAGCCTCTCACCTTTTTAAATCCCTGTCAACTCAGTTTCTGATTCTCAGAGATTTAATAAATGAAATGCTCTCCACTGGGGCCCTTGTCCTGTTCTCTGTGGTTATAGGCTTACTCCCTTTTGTACTTTGGTACTTGAGTCCTCTGTGACTTTAGAAAGGATTGCTGGGGGTAAGATTGGGGGAGTGTCTTATTTAGACCTCCGTCTGAAACTGGAATCCCATTTCTTTTCATTAAAAGAATCAGTTTTACATAAATGATTTATCTAATAACTTGCACTTTCTGAGATCTAGGGAACTAGATCCCACATGCCGCAACTAAAGATCCCGCATGCTGCAAGTAAAAGATCCCGTGTGCCACAACTCAGACCCAACGCAGCCAAATAAATAAATTTTTTTTCTTTTTAAAAAAGAATAAATAGTTCTTACACTTGAGGAATTTAGAAGGAAAGGTAGATGAGTTGGGACTTAATGCAAATGTGAGAAAAGCATTCCTAGCATTGCACGGGGTCACACAAGACTGCCTGACCCAGCCTCTGCTGCTGGGGGTGGGGAGATTGGGAGGACTGCCTGTATGGTTCCTGTCTTAAAGATTGAAAAAGCTGGCATGGGAAGATGGGGGGAGGGGAGAGGGAGATGGGCTGAGGCCACAAAGAGTTCGTAGTGCGTTGGGTATGTGTCAGGATGTGTGTGCATAGCAAACAATTGGGTAGGTATTTCTGGATCTTAATTTTTGTTCATTCAGCAATATCCATTTGATTCTTTTATTTCCAAGAAACTTGATATGAAGGTGGAAAGCTATGAGGCTGAAGAGGAAGGGACGCAGTAGATTATAGAGAACCTTATTTGATATGCCAGAGACTGGACTTTATCCGTAGGTAGTAGGGAACTTAAAATCGAAGGAGTTTGTGTTTGAGGTGTGGACCCTCCAGGTGGCTTTGTAAGGGATGGGTCCGAGGGGGATGAGGCTCTGGAATTAGGGAGATCCTGAGGGGACTGCTGTGGTCATCTAAGTGAGAGAATGACATCTGAACAGATCAGTGCAGTTAAGAAATATTTGGAAAGTAAAATTGGCAGCACACTTGGTAACTGATTGGCTCTGGAGAATGTAGGAGAAGGGGGGACTCCAGGATGATGCCTCAGTTTCTGTTTCTGGTGGTGCCCCCGTTGAGATGCTACAGGAGGATAATCTCAGATACCACAGAGAAGCCACATAAAATAAAGATTGACTGTGTCTACTGGATGTGGCGATTAGGAGTTTTTTGGTGACCTTGGCAAGAAGAGTTGCAGTGGAGGGAGATGAGCAAAAACCAGATTGCAGTGGTTGAAGAATGAATGGGGGCTACAGTAGAGCTGGGACATGTGGACAGTTCTTTCAGGAAGAAACAGATAACGTGGAATGTGAAGAAAGGGGTTATTGCCTTGTCTAGAACAAAAAGACTGCTTGCTTTTTTTTCTGTGTAAAAGAAACAATTATGTTATCTCCCAATTAATTTTAAAAAGAATATTATGTGGTTCTTTGCTGTGTTTCCAAAAATTATTGTATGTGTTGAAATTATTACCAAAATAAGAATAGAGATTTAAGCTACTTTAAAGAACAGGAATTGAATGCCTGTAGCCTTATCTTTAGACATAAATTATGTGTCCATCTATCCACAGGTTGAAGGGCTTGGCCGTAAACTGACCTAAATGTGCAGAACAGAATCCTTTAAAGATAGAACTGAAATTCTAGAATATTTTTCAATATATTCTTGGTGATTTCTTCCTTCAGAAAGGATTTATGGTCTTTAAGTGTTACTTGATCTAAGTTTACTTTAATAATAAGTATTTTAACAGTCTACTACTACTATAGTAGTAATAGTGTATGTACATGGTTAGATTTAATTTCTGTAAATTGCATTTCATCACAGGTACTGATGATGTTGTAGGTCCCGAAGGCATGGAGAAATTTTGTGAAGACATTGGTGTCGAACCAGAAAATGTAAGTCTAACTTACTAATTTGGGTAGATCAGTTGATCTGATTTTGTCTCTTGGCAAATAAAGCAACAATGAAGAAGTAAGGGTGCATTAGTTTTTATGAGGCAATCTAAGAAATAAGTTCCAATTCTAAATTGGTTTGTAAGCAGAAGTTTTTTTGCAGTTGGTATGGTGTAACTACAGTCAGTCATTTTATTCTCTCGTTTAATTTCTTGTCTCTAAAAGGTACAGTAATAAAGTAATTAAACTAGATGTTTAAAAAGTGGCGTGGGCATGTGTGCCTACCATGACAGATAACTGGGGACTGGGGGACTGAGGGCTTTGTGTATCTTTGTCCCCCTCCGTGGTTGTTCCAGCCTAATGTAGAATTTGTCCAGGACTTTGAATAATTAATTATTCATAAGAGTTTTGAATAGGTTATAATTAAAAAGGTTTTTTCACAACTCCTTCACTTCCAGTTGAATTTAGCTCAGAAAGTGATTGCTTTTTATTGTAAAGCCCCTAAGTATTTCCTTTAAAACATTTAATTAGAAGTTTTTTTATATGCTTCATTATTTTTGCATAATTCTTATCATCATGTGATTTTTGAATATTTTTTCCTATTCTCACATTTGTCTTACTGCAAAATGAAACATTATACAAATGCTCTGACTCATTAACTATGCAGCTTAATATTACATCAGCCTCCAATTTAACAAATACCTCTTATATCCTAAATGAATTTATGCTCTGGAAGAGCTCTCAAGGGATCATCCCTTTCATTCAGACTGTTGGTGAGATATCTGGTACCCATGCATATCATGCTCTTCGAGACTTCACACATTTTTCTTTAAAAAAATTTTGTTGGGCTTCCCTGGTGACGCAGTGGTTAAGAATCCGCCTGCCAATGCAGGGGACACGGGTTCGACCCCTGGCCCGGGAAGATCCCACATGCCACGGAGCAGCTAAGCCCACATGCCACAACTACTGAGCCTGCGCTCTAGAGCCCGCGAGCCACAACTACGGAGCCCGCAAGCCACAACAACTGAAGCCCGTGTGCCTAGAGCCCGTGCTCCACAACAAGAGGAGCCCGCACACCGCAACAAAGAGTAGCCCTCGCTCACCACAACTAGAGAAAGCCCGTGCGCAGCAATGAAGACCCAACGCAGCTAAAAATAAAAACAAACAAATTAATTAATTAAAAAAAATTTTTGTCTCCCCACTCCCCCCCCGCCCAGCAACACTGTAAATTTTCTAAAGAGCCTTTGGATTGTCTTTAACTTACTACATGTATTTTAGTTTTGTATTTTTATTTTAATGTAATCTAGTTCAGGTGTCTTATTAAATTACTGAGTTTGGTACAGAGGTTTGGGGACAGCTGGGTCAGTAGTATTTTGCCTGATCTAGTCCATAGCCTGGTCATAGACAGACAAAAACATTTCCCGGACTTTAAGAAGGAAGTTTTCTGCCAGGGGCTGGGCCAAGGTTGGCAGTGTTTTCTGGACAGTAGTGTAAAAGGGGCGAGAGTGAGCTGGGCCTGAGAGGAGATCCAGAGGTTCCACCCAGGGGACAGTAATCAGCATGTGATCAGAGGGGTGGGTAGCAGGGCCCAATGGTGGGGAGGCTGGGAGGCATCGGGCTGCCAGTGTGAGAGGGATCAGGTGGGCATCTACTCTCAGGGCCAGAAAGGCCTGTCGGGTGAGAGGAGTGCTGACACGGATTCTAACCGAGAAAACAGGGAGGCCCAGCTCTTTAAAGTTCCTCAGCCCCAAATACCAGTACTCAGTAAAAAATAGCTACTGTTATTATCGTTTTTTGGCAATTATGAGTCTTTGGCTTTCTATTTCTGTAGCAGTAGAAATAGTCTTGAAATGTTGAATCACATAGAAGATTGAACGACTGAATTCAGACTATTATTCCAAAGTATTGATTCCTGTACTTCAATTCTAAGATGCCACTAATAGAATTTTTATTATTTTATTCATCACTAAAAAGGAAAAATGATAAGTAAATTCTGATAAGCCATCAATTGTGGATACTTCCCAATTTCAGAAATTGTTTGAAAAACCAGCACAAAAATAGTTTTTTAGAGGCTTGTCTGCATTGATGAGTGAGCACTTTAAAGTATTTAAAACCCTCACCTTGCCTGATATTTATAGCTTATGAAATTTAAGCAGGCTTGTAAAATTCAGTTCAAGTTCCATTTACTAAGGTAACAGCAAAATCCTTTAAGTAGCTAGCTTCCTTATTAGCTGTGCTAGGGAAAGGTCTGTTTGTGTAAAGAAGTACCCATTGTGAATATCTGCTGTGGCTGTTTGGCCACATTACATGCATACTTGTATGTGTGTTCCTTTACCATAACCGTTTTTTTTTTTTTTTTAACTTAACAAGTATTTATGTGGAATTTTTAATCCTTCTAATAGAGGATTGAGTATAGATAATGTTTGAGAACATACAAAGTTTAAATTAGAAAATATGTAAATAGATACATAGGAGTCAGAATTCCAAGAAAAGCTGAGGGATGAGGAGAAAATCCACTAATGTGTGAATAGTTTGAAGAACATGTAACGCCTTCTTTTTGGAAAATCCTTCCTAGTAGGGTCCTGGTCTCTTAAGTCACCATTTTCTGACCAATTTAACAATCATGTTTTATGGTGATATGCATAATATGTAGAAAAATTGGTTCACTTATCAGTTCTAGTTATCTACCTAGTAATCTAGATTTTTAAAATCTAAAAAACCTAGTGACTTAAAAAAAATGGGTAAGTACTGATTGAACTGATATTTGATTGATAGGTCCTAGAGATTTACTGGGTTCTCACTGATACTAATCTCCAAAGTAGAAAACCATAAAGTCGGCACCAAGAGAAAGCTTTGCATTAATCTTCCAGTTATAAATTAAACAAAGCTGGAGATTTTTAGTCTACAAACGAGCTCATTGGCACTTGAAAGGACAGACCTTCTGAAGCTCCTGAATGCTATTGTTCTGGAGTCCTTCATGTGCCCTTTGGCTCTCAGGGCCTAATTAAATCATCTAAAGTGATTTCTGAGTGGCTGCTTGCCTCATTATGGTGGGGAGTGTTATGCTTTTATTTTGCATTTTGTTGTTGTTTGGGATTTTAAAAACTTTGGTTCTATTACAAAAAATAATATAAGGCAGGTGCGAAATTGTATTTTTTGATTCATTTTCAGGGATAACAGCCTAAAAATATGTTGATGCTCTTTTTTTAAAAAAATTTTTATTTTATATTGGAGTATAGTTGATTTACAACATTGTGTTAGTTTCAGGTGTACAGCAGAGTGATTCAGTTGTACACATACCTGTATCTATTCTTTTTCAGATTCTTTTCCCATGTAGGTTATTACAGAATATTGAGTAGAGTTCCCTGTGCTATACAGTAGGTCCTTGTTGATGATCTATTTTATATATAGTAGTGTGTATATGTTAATCCCAAACTCCTAATTTATCCCTCCCTGCCCCTGCCTTTCCGCTTTGGTAGCCGTAAGTCTGCTCTCTGTGTCTGTGAATCTGTTTCTGCTTCATAGATAGGTTCATTGGTGTCATACTTTAGATTCCATATATAAGTGATATCATATAGTATTTGTCTTTCTCTGTCTGACTTACTTCACTTAGTATGATGATCTCCAGGTCCATCCATGTTGCTGCAAATGGCATTATTTCATTCTTTTTAATGGCTGAGTAGTATTCCATTATCTATATGTACCACATCTTCTTTCTCCGTCGATGGACATTTAGGTTGCTTCCATGTCTTGGCTTGCCTCATTTTTTTATGTTATGTCACCCTGATTCCTTTCACCGTCAGCACGCTCTGACCCATTTGGGCACGTGGATTGTAGTTTAATGGTTTGGGGCAGTTCTTCTGTTAGTTGAAATGAAGCATTTAGGTCCTGGGTAAAGAAATCAGATTAACTGCCAAACGCAGAGTATGCTAGTCCCCGGCCAGCTGTATACAGAAACATTTATTTTCTTCCCATTGCCTTCTTTTTTGTATTACGACAAATGGACATATAACCATTCAGCAGTGTATGTGTGAGCTCCCCTTTTGTACTCGGGTTCCCTTTTGTGTGAGTGACTGTCCAGAGATAGCCAGCCTTGCAGAGTGGCAAAGCTTCCTAGGACGGTCCTAGGAAGGCCCTGTCCCTCTTCTTCACCTCTCTAGGAGTGACATACTTCCGTTTTTAGTTACCCCTCACCTTGTCTCAGGCCTTTGAGGTAGACAGGATGGGAGAGCTTCCTCCTCATCCCCCAATCCAGGTGGCCTCAGCTCTGTCCCTGTGTAAGAGCCTTGGAGAGTTTGCAGTTGGAGGCATCTTGGAAATGTAATTTTGTCTTTTATACCTTTAGGTATAAACTCACCATCACTGCCTCGGGGCCACCTTTTCTCTAAAGCAGCTGAGTGAAAAAGTGACGAGTGGTGCCAAAAACCTGAGTTGTCACAGTTCCTCATGTCTGCCCAGTTTCAGAAGGTGTACTGAAAGCAAGGATGGCGCCCCACTGAGAAGTGATTGAGTGATTGTCCGCTCATCCTGCGCTCATTGCAGGCACAGTGCTATCGAAGTGGAGTGTTGGACTGCTTTAAAATCATTTCCCCAGTGTATGTAGTTGAACTCACAAACATCGAGTCCACTGTCCGTGTCCCACCACCTACCGTTTGGGTTTTTAACACTGTTCTGCACCTCACTCTTTTCATTTTCACTTAATAAATCTTGGAAACTATTCCGTATTTGTACCAATGGCTCCACTTCATTTGTCTCAGTGATGACATAGTATTCTTTCGTACGGAATGTGTTTAGCAAAGAAGTATTTAAGTAGTCCCTTACTAGTAGATGTTTGGTTGTTTTCAGTCTTTTGCTACTACAAATAGTACTGTAGTCAGTCTTGTTGACTATACAGCTTTGTGTATATGTGCAGGTGTGTCTATGAGATAACTTTCCACAGGTGGAACTGCTGGTTTCAGTTTTGATACATATTGCAGAACTGCCCTCGGGAGAGGTTGATAGCTTTACACTTCCACCATCAGGCATAAGAAGTCATGTTTCTCCAAACCCTTGTCAGCAGACTGAATTATCAAACTTTTCGATGTTTGCCAAACTAGAACTCATTTTTTTTTTTTTTTTTTTGTGGTATGTGGGCCTCTCACTGTTGTGGCCTCTCCCGTTGTGGAGCGCAGGCTCCGGACGGGCAGGCTCAACGGCCATGGCTCACGGGCCCAGCCGCTCCACGGCATGTGGGATCTTCCCAGACCGGGGCACGAACCCGTATCCCCTGCATCGGCAGGCGGACTCTCAACCACTGCGCCACCAGGGAAGCCCTAGAACTCATTTTTGAAGTTACCTTGTTCATATTTCAGTGACTAAACTACTGTGAACCGAAGCATTTGGCTGATGTTAATGTATTTAATTACTGAGGTCTGTCCTCCTTATTTGATTGGTCTTTCTGCTTTGTTTTGTTTTTGTTTTAAACAGGTAGTTATGCTCGTCCTAGCTTGGAAATTGGATGCACAAAACATGGGTTATTTTACTCTACAGGAATGGTTAAAAGGAATGACGTCTCTACAGTAAGTCCTGAGGCTACCCTGGGGCAAGGGTGGGGTGTGGTTGTCATTGCCCTCCTCCGGCTGCCTGCCTCCCCGCGGGCTCTCGTGGAGCCTGGCTTGGGTGACTGGAGGACCGCCAGGGGATCTGGGCAGGCTTCACCTGTGCATAGGTGTGAAGACCAAGCCCCATTTTCCTATGATGAGGAGGGCTATAACAGATGAATTTTAGAAATTAAAGTTTTTATATAATGTATATCGTTTATGTTAGTATTCTTCTAGAGCAGCTCAGTAGAAATAGGCCATCCTTTTCTCATATATGTGAGCCACGTATATAATTTTAAATTTTCTAATACCCACATTTAAAAAAGTAAAAATAAACAGGTAAAATTTATTTTAATATATTGTACTTAATCCAGAATATCCAAAATATTATCATTCCAACATGTAACCAATATTTTAGAAAGCTGTTTTACCTTTTTCATATTGAATCTTGAAAATCTGGTATATATTTTTCATTTATGGTACATCTCAATCTTCATTAGCTGCATTTCAGGTGCCCAGTAGCCACATGTGTCTAGTGGCTACTGTATTGGACAGCGCAGGTTTAAAATCAAAGTATTAGCATCTGGTTTATAATTAGTGAGAAAAGTTGAGTAAAGTATAACTTGTAAGTAAAGATATTCAGTATCTTTTATTTGATATATTCTGATATTAGCTTTGGGCAAAGTTAGAACTTCATTACTCTAGTGATTTAAAAAAATGATAATAATAAAGATTCTGTTTATGTTACCTGGGCCAGAATTGAGGGGAAAAAAATCAGTGGTTTTATGTGTTCACTTCGTGCTTACATGCATATGTGTCTGTGCGTGTGTGTTTACGTGTGTGTGCTTGCTAAGAGTTTCACTCAAGAAAACAAATTGTCATTCTCTGTTACTCATTGAAAGATACACTTGAGGTGGATGATGAAACATTTCAAATGATATTTGAAGAGGAAGTGCTAATTCTTAATATAGTAACTGATCTAAAGTACTTGAATGGCTTCTCTTTTTCTTTTTCCTTTAACTAGGAATAATAGACTTAAGTTTTTACTGGATTAAAATTGGAATTGAAATGGTTTTATGGTTTTATTTAAATAATTTCGTAATTTGTCAACTTTCAATATCATTGTCCCTTTCTCATTGGTAACAGTGCTTCATTTTCTTTGTGCTTTAGTAGTTTTATGAGGCCTGTTCACTGTTCCTTCATTTGAGCCTCGCGGCTACCTAGGCAGATCAGGCTTTACCCTGCACATTTTACAGATGGGGAAACTGAGGCTCAGAAGGGGTAGGTGATTTGTGAAAGAAAGTGGTAGGATGGGAGGAAAACCTAAGACTTCTGATTCTTCACTCACATTCTTCCTCTGACAACTATTGTCTGATGACAAGTGTGTTTTAGGTAAAAGCCAAATCACCCTTTTACAGATACGCTTTCCTCTCAGCATGCTCTAGAATTTTAGGGTTAAGTCTCTGGAATCTCCTAAAATTGTGTATGTCATGTAGGGAA